CCCAGTAGTAGCACAGTTCCAAGACCTTCTGAAGCGAAAGGTGGCTATTGCAGTGTCCGTTCACATCTGTGTATGTAAAGAAGTACGTATCGATTGGTGCGCTTGATATCCAAGTCTGGAGCACCTGAACGTGTGAGGTATTCTCTGACCGAACTTTCAGCTGGCCTAGCATGTTGTGGATCATTCGGTAAATCATCCACACTCTGCAGTAGCCCATGCAAGAATGCAACACCGCTCTATTCCGTAGCAATCACGGAGTAAAACTCGACAGCCTTCATGATGATGACGGAAAGAGAATATGTCCGGGTTCTCATAATTTATAGGTTGCTGTCAGTGCCCTGCCAGACATTTCTATCCCTGACGCTCAGAGTTTGAAGAGATTATATTAATATTAACCCTTTGCTTGGCGCAAGTGGAAGTAATCCTTTTTCTGGAATCGTAAGGAGGACGCGGTGTCAATAAATATAAAGTTCATGTCAAGATAAGGTGAATTCCAACATGACACGAGCACTGCTGGTGATTCCAAAAGATAAGTGTCAGCAATGTTTTCAACGGCTGAAGAAGCACCGGAAAATTTGTGTAGATGCCGAATAGGACTAGTTTGAATGATATAACCATCAGTAACCGGAAAGAGACACCACAGCGTCATTTTAAAAAATTCAGTCCTGGAACTTCTTGATTGCCCCTCGCCTCTCGTATGACGCAATTATTAAAATCATCGTTGACTTTGACGAGCCGTCATCATACATTTTTACTGCAGGGACTATTTTTTCTTATTCCTCATTTGGAACCAAAATGTCCGGCAACCGTATTGAGCATCCGTTGTATCCACTTCCCTCCCGTATTTGTGCGAAAGGAAACCGTCAGATTCGGGGGTTGCAAAAAAGAGACAATGGAATTCGGCAAATGCAAGAAAAAGGATGTCAGATACCAACCCCTCATATCCTGCCATGAAATCCTGGCCATCACTCTCCTGCTCATTGTTCTATCTTTCTCAGTGTCAAGTGAGAAAAAAGTGGTATAGAAGCTTTCTCGTCTTCATCGCCCTGGAGCTGCCTACGAATTTGAGATTGCTCCGAGGTGGTGGGCAAGGGCATAAGGTGCTGCTGTGGGGTGGGGCAAGGGAGCATGGGCATAAGGTGCATGCTGTGTGGATGAGTTGGACCCGGGATAGTGGAACCTTGTGGACGCGGTCGAGTTTCAAGCCTCATTTGCTAGGTCATTAGAGTCCGCCCCGGATATGCAGGGTGTTCGTATTTAAACGCAACATAAGAAATATTTATTCGCCTGTATGTGGAGTTCGGCTAATGCTACCGGGCCCACCGGGTTGAGGGAATCTGCAAGGAAACACAAAACACTGAGGGTGGATTTTTGAACAGAGCATTATCCGATAATGCTGCTTTATTCCAGAGAAAATGCATTATAAATCCGGTAAATAAAGCAGCATTATCGGATAGTTCTCAGTTCAAAAATCCACCCTGATTGTTTTTTTTTTTATCCTTAAGATAAGATATGCAACCCGGTGTGCTTTATGGCATTCGCTATACTTCAAAAACAGGCGGCAAATTTTCCTGCATGTTGCATTTAAATACGAACACCCTATATATATTGCATTATGACTCCACAATCATTGACTTGTGTTAAACAATAATAGGAGGAAATTAAGGTGTAGCGGGAGCTAACACATGACTGCATGCGAGAAATATATATATTCACACATAGGGTAACTTGGGGGAATATGGCCATTAGGATAATATGGCTCTTCACAAGGAATCCCCTTACAAGCTGAATAATTCGTTTGAGCGAATTTTAATAATAGTTCTATCGAAGAGAGTCGAAATTGTCGAAATGTTTAGACCGGTTCATTGATCCAATTCTTACAAGAATTCGGGATACATCGACGTCTTGAAAGTCATATGCATGCGATTCTTTGACTAATGACCCTGAAACTAATATGAGCCTTGAACAACTTAAGCGTATATTTCCTAATAGCAGGATGGATACAGAAATAATTTCTTCAAAGTTCTTCTATGGTCCCTCCAGAATGCTTGTGCTAAGTGCTAGCCCCTTCACTGGCGGTTTGCAGACTGTTTTGTCAATTTTGTCATGCAAGCCAATATGGGGTAATATGGCCATCTCGAATTGGGGTAATATGGACACATCCCTCATTTCATGTTAGCACTGCACTGACCTATTGATAACGTCAGCTTCCCCTCATGTGGGATCTCAGGCTGCAAAAGATCATCCAATGCACTTCCTCTGGATATATGGATAGACGTACTGGACATCTGGAAGAAATATGCAGCACATGAGGAGGCCGTATATGAGGATATACTCATAAACCTTTTCCTGGACCGCATCGTTTGACATTCTCCAGAAATTTTCGTTGCACGAATTTGAATGCAAGTAAATATCCCTCGTACAAAAAGGGAATTCTGTGATATTTTTTTGGTACTATTTACTCATGCATACAAAAACTTCGCAACATTTTTCCTGCAATATAAGACCTCTTATATTGCACTTGTAGCGCATGTTCACTTTAATCTATTCCTGATCACACCTCTTACACACACAGTCTCTAGATATAGTCTCCCAATCACGTGTAATGTTACTCAAAAGCAAAAGCGCTGCAATCCTGCTTTACACAATGGTTCCTCAAATCAGGTAATGATGTAGACTTCTTTGCCATCAAAGCAGTTAATGTTTCTTTTTCAACTGCTGAGAGTCCTACACTATGTTTCAAGGTACTCAGCTTGTTCCAGCATATTTCACACGTTCCTGGAAAACCTGGAGTTGCTTTTTCAGAAGTGGCCATATTCCCCCAACCATAGGGTTAATATGGCCTCTTGGGACCAACTCGAAAAAGATCCTAAGATTCATGCTTTTTTTGCATATGCCTTGCTGGGATTTAGTAAAGGAGACATCAATCCATATTTTAGAAACATTGTAAAAGTCAAATTTAACCCTGATGGGCCGTGATGACCAGGTTTCATTTTGCAGGGCCATATTTCCCCAAATTACCCTATACACTAAATACAGTATTTATGAATTTACCAGTAAACCAGAATTCTGGAAAAACGGTGGACACTTTCTCCTCCCATTTAAGTGGAAAATATCCCACTACGGATGGAAATCATTTTCTTCAGCGTCATTGAAAGGGAGAAGTCTCCATCAGATCAAAAACCGGTTTTCTGAACAGTAGGAGTAATATTCCATCCAAAATTTCCGACCATTCATTGGGCTAGGCAGATTCCTCACCTTACTTGTAATTTTCACCTTGAAGCACGCGAATGAAGCTTGACTCTTTTCAGTCTCCACACTTAGTATCCCTTAGTATCTTAACTACGCAATGGGCTTCCTCGAAATAAAAAAACCATCGTCTTAAAAACTTTTCTGATAAAATCATCCCTGTTAACTAATCACTAATAATGGCTGTTTGCCGTGAAAATTTTCACACATTCCCTCTCAAATACCCATATGAATCAATCCCTTGCGTTTCCAGCATAAGTACAAGAAAAATAAGAAATTGACCCGCTTAACCACCTTGTACAGGTGGTCCAATAAATTCTTAAAGAAAACGTCACATAATTATGAAAAACTTCGGAAACTTCCCAAAAACACAGTTAGGACATAATAGGTGTTAGCCGTTGACCTCAATGCAATTCTCCAGGCGATCCTGGAAATGCACCTATGTTCCAGCCCAGTTTCAATGGGCCACCCTGTACATTTGCGTCTCTATGTCTCCACGTCGCTAGCCCACGTTTCTGCGTAAAAGCGCGAAGTTTTTGTCAGCTCAGGAAATACTGAAGCTTCGAAGTCGCCACTCAATAAATTCATTCAAATTCACCAAGTTCACCAGATCGTAACTTACATTTTAAAAAACTTGAGATCTAGTCGACTTTCGAATTTTATCCACTAAGTCAACATTAACAGGACGACCGCGTCACCGTGGCTTAGTGAGTAGGGGCCCAGGCGCACGCGGGAGGTCCAGGTCCGACCGGCGGTATTCTCCTGGGCCAACAGTTCACCTGGCTGCTTTCTCTTGGACTGAAGCATAGGCCACTGTGCTCCATTGTGTGAGAGGTAGGGGCTTGGTGCACCTCAATACTCGTAACGCCCACCACCACCATCGGCCCTGGCGGCCCGATGTACAGCGATGGAGAGCCTATGGCCGGAGCAGCATCGAAGTTGGCGCCACCTTCCCCGGTCCCGTGAAAACGGGATAGATTGACAGGAAGCGTGGGAAGGTGGAACAATGCTGTCAGGGATGTCCGATAAGAATTCCCTTTCCTCTACTCAGTGTTGCCGCTTGTGGCATTTGTCCTCGTCTGTGTATGTCCGTCCCAGTCCACGTTTTTTTTAACAAAAAAATATTAACATAGGACATTTTTTTATAGAGCAGCAAAGATGGATAGTCGTCCTTCCTCGCCTGCCACCTTCCATTCCCACGCACACGGTTTCCAAGCATCTTCTGCTACCCTCTTCACATACCCATAATTTTGACTGCATCACAGCACAATAAAAATAAAGACACATGATGACATAGGGGTTTGATCAGCTTATGATTGGAGGAAAAGCTATTCAAAAATAAAGCATAAAGAACGCCAACAAAACTCATGAATTCAAATTGTCATCAGATTCTTTATTGCATGATAAGTAGATCATAATAGGAAAATAAGTAGACAAACAACATAAAATTCACTAATGAAAATCCTTATTTTTACAAGTCCTGGAAGGTGTTTTCATCGGCCTGCCAATAAATTAACACAGTGAGAATACCACAGATCATGCAAAGGTCCAGAAGTACACGAAAACATGTATAATCAGGACAGCAAAATCCACAAGTCCATTTTTTCCAATAATATATTACTTTAAAAAATGCTATAATTATGACTGCCTTCATCGAGAATCTTATACAGGTGCTTTTACAGCCATCTCAGAAAAACAAACTCATAGGAAGCATCTTTGGTATAATCAGAATCAAAACATGGAGTGCTGTTTCATTTTTTTCCCTTCTTACCAGTCTGGGTGGTTGACTGGAATACAGAAGATGCAGTCATGAGATTTTCAATATACTGGCCAAGTACCTGATTCTCAGATTTCAGCCGCAAGTTTTCCTCCTTCACGTTGTCCACCCTCTGTGAGAGATCATCCAGAGTGTTCTGCAATTCTAGAACTTGAGAAATGAGTCTTGCCTTCTCTTCCTGTTCATCTGGACTTGCATCAGGATCCAGGCTGTTGAAGGGACTGTATTGATCTTGCAGGAAAACAGAGCTGTAGGGTTCAGCTCCATCCTCAGGATCTGGGTTTAATTGCTGAGCTGGAGGGATCCCATGGCTGTTCTCAGGCAAAATCACTTGAGCATCTTCATCAGCAAGTGGAATGTCAGAATCTTCAAGGTTTAAGCTCTGACTTGGATCCATTATAATTGTCCAATTCTGAAAAATCCAGAAGTATATTATACAATATTTACCTCAGAAGCACAATTAAGAGCAAAGACAACAAGTAGAGATGTTCAATGCATCTCTCAGGTGAACTCTTTCAAGATTTGGTCTGATGTACTATGGGATGAATAACTAAGCATTCATCAACAGGCCTAGGATATATAATTTATGACTGCTTGCAAAACTTGAATGAGCTCTTTAAAAGACAAAATAAGCTGTTGAGTGGGGAATATCATACACACCATTTATAGATGACACAATATTGAATTTGGTCAGCAGAGGCCAAATTTAAATATTGTGTCATTCACCTGAAGGCCAATATCAAGGTCTCAAATTTTCATATACTGATGCTGATATTAGGTGCACCAGAGAAATTTGATTGTATCTGTAGCAAATGTTTCAATAGTACTATGTTAGTGTAGCTTAATTGAAGGAAGTAAAATTGGAAAGACAGTAGGTTTACCATAGCTATAATGTGTATGCCCATGTAAAGTGTACACTGGCCTGAGATAGAAACTTCATGGATTTGCTTAAAATTTGACACTGAGGTTGATCTTAACGTCAAAAAATTGTTCTAGATGCTTTTGCATTCACATCCACACTTCCCAAGATATAGAAGATATAGAAATATCCAAAGATAAAATGTCATTTTAAAATGATATTTTTAAGAGGGGATAGTTAAATGATGAATTTATTCCTTTTTACTGACACACCAAATTTTAGGAGGATGTTTGGTTTGTTTGCTAGTTAAAATGCAATCTGATGGGAGAAAGAAACTCTAGGTCTCTAAAGATCAGATTTTTTCATGTTAGATAAACAGATGAAAGACAAAGAACCAAGAGACAAACCAGTCCAAGCAATCAACTTGCCACATTTTGAAATATTCAGATACAGGGGAATTTCTAGGCACAGGCATTGAAGAACATGAACAATGAAACAATCCTCAGAATTGAGTTATATTCTAACCCAGCTTTTGTTCAAATTTCTGATATCTGAACATCCAGAATAACCTTGCATCTCAGTTAAGGAGCCCTCATTCCATGCCAAAATACACATGGTGTAATACCTTTCCTTGAGGCAAAACGGGGGTCTCAATGAGGGGGAAAATACTTAATGCAATACTCATGCACTGCTTGTACAGAGCAACCACCATGAATCAGGAAGTATAAGAAGTATTGCATATTAATACCATAGTAAGATAGAGGGCACTAGACTCATATACATGAATGACTCATATACTTATCATAGACTCATATACATATACATGAGACATAACTTAGGATCAACTGGAGAGAATGCATTGAATCAATAGCTAAAATATGAATGGTCTTGAACCAATCCAGCTTAAAATCTCTGCAGGGATTTTCTTGCTGGACCTGTAGATATAGATCCATTCCAGCTGAAAAGGGTCTTAATTTACAGCTGTGGTCTCGTTGGGATTTCTAACCGGGAAAGCAAAACGGACTTGTCAGACCATTGCTGTTATTTCTGGCAAGAAAAGTGAAGCGCGATGACCCTCGATGTATTATTACATAAGAATGTATTTACCAGCTAATCAGAGGTTTATTGTAGCTGTCAGATCTTTGCAGGAGGTAGTGCACGTGATGGAATTCAGATTATGATGAACTTGTAGGTATTGCAATAGGAAGGATTATGAACGACCTTCATGTAACAGAGCAAGCCACTCAGTCTCTACCTGTACTTTATATTTGTTGCGCTATTATGAGCATCAACCGCCACACGTCTAGGCTTAATAAACCAACACATCTATGTTCTTGCCTTTGGCCCATCAACTCTGGTAGGCGGTAAGCAGAGTCAAGCGGAGATATGGAGGCCGCCCTCTTTCGTTCAGTTGGATGACGTACTAAAAATTGAACATGGCCACCACCTGTCTTACCCATGCCTTTCCCAAACCACTTCTGCCTCAACATTGTGATTCGTTGTCAGTCAAATAGGACGCGGATGGCGTGGTTGGTAGCGAACTTAGATACCTGAAAAGGAATCCAGGTTCGAAGTCAACCAAGTCCTTAATGAGATGCCACACACCCATTGCGCACTGTTGGGGATGAATGCCGCAATATTCCCTGTCCCTATTTTCACAATTGATGACATATTGTGAATATCCATTGCATCCTTGTGGATGCCAGATTATCCAGTGAAGGAGAAACTTTCCTTGTGAAAGAATTTTGGCAAGTATTCTGCGAAGTATTTTAATTAACAAAACTAATTAAATACTGCTGGGTTTGTCATTTGGAAGGGAGTGTCTTTTTCTAGGGTGCTGTTGCTACTATTCTCTTCATATTCCTAACACCTGCACCTTTTCCGACAGAAACTTGGCATTCTCAAGATGGCTTATTACTGAATTGTCTGTACCAACTTTCGCAGTTAAATCCCAGCTCCTCCTTGCCTTTCTTTCATGGGTTTACATTCACTTCAGTGAATTCTTCGCAGTTCAATGGTTTGAGTGAAGTGTGAACAAGAGCCCTGCCCCCATTGGGTTCCTAAAAAGTAGATATAAAAGGTTCCTCTGGGGTATTTGAAAAGTTCAGGCTGCCTTTGTGATAATTGAATCCAGAATGTGATCAGTTTAAATTTGAACATGATAGCATACACCTGTAAGTAAGCCTGCAGGAGTCACAGAAGTTAGGTTCAACAGAGCTGCAACTCCAGCTTGCAAGTCTATTCCTGCTTTGTATTCCTTGTATTTATAGATTTTTCTGCCAATTCCATAAAGTTATGCAATCATCTTGGTTTTTCATGTGCCTTTTCATTTTCACTTGTTTCACTCAATGCCACATTGTAATGATGGTCTCTACAGAGTACTCCAAAATGAAAGGTAGACAGGTTTAATTTTCGGACAAAAAAATCTGGTACAAATGAGGACCATGACTACATCACCACTGGAGCTGTTTGTCCAAGCCAAAAATGACATCGGGAAGATGGTGTCAGAGGTTGAGGAGTATGTTGTTGATTGTATGAGTTTTTTGATTGGTGAGTTTAAAAGCTTCAATATGAGTTGTTCTCATTGCATTTTATTTTAAAGATACTTGAAAAATTGGTTCTGTCTGCAGAGCTTCCAAAGGAGAAAGGAATTGTTACAGAAACTCAAGTCAAAGCATTAAATCAGTACAAGATACAGATTCATGGGATTAGGGAGGTCCTTGCTCGAGACAATATGAAAGTGGCATTCTTTGGCAGGTGAGTGATGTATTAGTTCACACAGATGTAGACCTTGATAAGAATTGGAAAGAGTCTATTTCTTGAATCTTATCAAGGTTAACTTCCTCTCACTTGTCACTCTTATATGCAAATCGTTGTGCTTTGCAGGACAAGTAATGGAAAGAGCACAGTCATCAATGCTATGCTCCATGCAAACATCCTACCAAGTGGTATTGGCCATACTACAAACTGTTTTTGCCAGGTTGTTGGGACAGATTCTGAAGAAGCCTTCCTGTTGACAGAAGAATCAAAGGAAAAGCATAGTGTTGAGGTGAGGTTTTACAGTTATTTTGTTTTGGAAAATTTTTGAGAATTTTAAATATATATATAAATGGGGGGGAAACTCTGACCTCAATGGCCCAATTTTTTTTCCCTGTTTAATCACCAGAGTGCATCTCAGAAAAAGGCAACATTGCTAGGATGAGAAAAAGGGTTTATTGAATGTAAACTGGTCTGAAAAATGCATACAGGAACAAGTATGCCGTAGTCAGAGCAATACAAATGTATCTTTCTTGCAAACTGCTGCTGCATATGCTAATATATCATTTAATTAACCAAAAGTACTCCATGCCTTCTGGTTCCTCTTGAGCTATGCTGTGTGTGACCAACATCCCAAAAAGAAAGTCAGGAAGAAAACTGTTGCTATATATTGAGATTTGTTAATCTTAACATGTAGCATATGGGTGGAGGGAGTCATTGGATAGGCCACATTTATTACAAGTGCCCTTATGCTTTTTTTTATTTTAGTCGGTCAGCCAACTGGCTCATGCATTGTGCCATGAGAGACTCAGTGAGAAAGCCTTGGTGGAGATTCATTGGCCAAAAAAGAAGTGTCCTTTGCTCCGCCACGAAGTTGTTCTGGTTGATAGTCCTGGCATTGATGTGTCCACCAACACAGATGAATGGATTGATCGTCATTGTCTAGATGCTGATGTCTTTGTTCTTGTCAACAACTCTGAATCTATACTTATGGTCACTGTAAGTCCATTAACCAGACATGGCAGAGATCATAGCTTGCTTTCCGACTTCATTGATGTCCACTACCTGCAACGTTTCTCTCCTCTTCTCAGGAGAAGAACTTCTTCCATAAAGTATCTTCCAAGTTATCCCGACCGAATATCTTCATCCTGAACAATAGATGGGATGCTGCAGCTCTTGATCCTCGCAGTGCTGAAGTGAGTTGGCTACTTTAAGCCAATTTTGAAAAAATATTAAGAATTAATTCATTTATTCAATGTATTATCTTTTCCATCCATTGTACAAATGTCACAAATATTTTTTTGGCTGTCAACCATGAGGGTTTTCATAGGGCACCTTCAGAATTAACCAAATGTAGCAGCATTTGGCAAGCTTATTACTGGCCAACAACTTATCATGTTGCTTATAGGTTTTGTTTCTTGCAGCAAAAATTATTATTCTCGTATTCAGTGAAAGGATATTGCAGAAGATTCTGAGTGCCCTCAAGGATCATGACCTTCAGGAAGTCCACTGACTATATATATCTTATCTGTTCCTGAATGAGTACACATAATCTGCTCCATGCTTATCTCATACTTTGCCTATCTTTATCTGTACCAGTGTTTAGTAGCAGTACATGATCCTCAAAAACTTATGGCTGAGATCTTCTATAGCAAAGGCACACTATCAGCCCTGTCTGCAAAAAATTAATCATGTTTCATTATTCACCAATAGCAGTCACCCCCACTCCATGAGAGAAAGGTTCAGCTTAGCCTATCTTAATCTTTAATTCATGTCACAGGTGCACCAGCAGCACATGGAGCACAATCGCAAGTTTCTTGTTGAAGAATTGGGTATTTGCAACCGTGAAGAAGCAGATAATCGAATTTTCTTTGTCTCAGCCAAGGAGGCACTTTATGCTCGCTTGCAGGAGCAAGGGGGTCTTCCACCTCACAGTAATTTCTCCCTTCCATGTATTCCTGTAATGAATGAATGCCTCTGTGTTGCATCTTTAAGTATGTACCTGATGTATTATTTTTTTTTAAGCTGGAGCCATAGAGCTAGAGGGCTTTGCAAATCGTTACTTTGAATTCCAAGATTTTGAGAAGGCCTTTGCAGAGTGTCTGTCAACATCGGCAGTGAAAACAAAATTTGAACAACATGTTGTGAGAGGGAAATCCATCATCACGTGAGGATATTAATAGTCTCTGCCTCACACTTTGACTCAAATGTACTGTGTTGCTTGATGATATTGTATTTATTTTTCAGTGATATTGCATCAGAGATGGGGAAAATTCAGGAGCGAGCACATCATGAGAAGTCAAAGCTCATGATGCAGAGGCAGGAATTGGTCAGCAAACTGGACTATGTCAGCCATCAACTTAAGCTTATCACAAGTGATGAGAAAGATCAAATTTGCCACACAGTGGAGGATGTTGAAAGAAAGGTAACCTAATGATGTTGTGGTAGCTTGGCTTGGTTATGATCTAGAGGAATCTCTCTGTATTATCTCTTGGCCTCCCTTGCATATAAAATTCTGAATGCATAAAACTGGAAGCTAGAAGAGATTTAGGTGCAATACTGAAAAGAGTCCCCCCCCCCCCAATGCTACATCTTCCCAGCAACCATGATCTGCATGAATACAAAGAGTGTTGAAATGATTAGTGAGAGAAGAGCAACTTCCAGAATTGCTCCCTCCTGATCTGTCTCTTACTTGTGAATTGACCAGGTGTGAATTAAAAAGCTTTCTATTGAGACTTCAATAGATAACATCCAGTAGTAATTCTTAAACTCAGGTTTTAATTTTGCTCTCATGACTCTACGGCATAGAACTCTCTGATGGTGATGCATATCCATATTGATGCAGTTGGACTTGTACTTTCAGGTATCAATGGCTCTAAATGAAGAGATTCGTCGTCTTCATCAACTAGTTGAGGAGTTCACAGCTGACTTTCTTCCAAATCACATTGTGATAACTGCATATAAAAGAAATCTGAATGCACATTTGGATAAGGGACTTGGAAGTAACATGCGGGCCCGACTCTCTGATGCGATTGCCTCCATTGTGGATAGTGCCAAGACCACTATGACAAGTTTGTGCCTAAACGTTCTGTTCTTCCTATGATATGTGCCATTGGTTTGATGTTGACTCCCTGCTATAGATCGAATCAAGGAGCTCCTACCAGAGGAGAAGCAGCATCTGGTGATAGCAAGGCGGCAGGACCACTTCGAGATGTTTTATAGGCTCAACTGTGACAACTTGTGTGAAGACTTCAAGGAAGACATCGAATTCCGATTCTCACTGGGGCTCGCAGCCTTGATGCATCGCTTTCTGGGAAATAAGCAAGCATCAAGGCTCACCATTTTTGGTCATAGTGAGCCTGTAAGTTTTAATCAATGAGAATACTGATTGTGAGAGTTTAGAATTATAATTAAAAATGAGTTTCATCAATTTCAGGTCCCTCGACCTGTGCTGCTCACACCTGGGACTCCTAGCAATGAGTTCTTACCCCCAAGTAGTGACTGGGCCTTTGCTGCCAAGTTTCTTACAGCAGCTGTCTCTGGTCAAGGCATCACTGGGATTGTTGCCTTCACCACCATTGTATGTCCTTCTCCTGATGACATAGTCTTCCCATATTGCCATCTTGAAAATATTTTGATAATTTCAGGTAGGACTGAAGCTGGGATGGAAAATTCTTGCTGCAATTGGATCAGTGTACGGAGGGATATACTTATATGAGCGATTGACATACACCAACAAGGCCAAGGAGCGAAGGTTCAAGAAACAATATGTGGCTCATGCCACAAAAAAACTTCGACTCATTGTAGATCTGACATCTGCCAACTGCAGTCATCAAGTTCAGCAGTGAGTTTTAAATCACTTGAGACTTCACTGCTTTGAGACTTTCAATCTGAACTGCAAAGGAATTGTATTAGGTTGTTTCACATGAAATGTCCGATTTTTCTCTATACAGGCAGTCCTCGACTAACGACGCTCCGACTTAGGACACTTTGACTTACGACGCTCTAAGCCTAGGGCTGAAGGAGTCATTGACATGTAGGCCTGAGGCCTCCCCCATATTACCATCATATGTCGAGGACTGCCTGTACAATATGATGTCTTCAAAAGAATTGAGACTACTTTTTTTGTACGAGTTCAAATCGGGGCACAACACAGCTGTAGCCGCGAGTAACATCGACTTGGCGTTCAGGAAAGGGACTGCTAACCAGCGGACTATTCGGCAGTGGTTCTAAAAATTTTGATCTGAAGACATGAATCTCGAAAATGAGCCCTGAGGAAGGCCTGAATCTGTTGTGAATGAAGAACATTTAAGAGCCATTGTGGAAGCTAACCCACAAACGACAGTTCGGGCTCTTGCAATAGACCTAGGTGTTTCTATTGCAACTGTTTCTCGACACCTGGCTGCAATAGGAAAGGCGAAAAAATTGGACAAATGGGTGCCGCACGAATTGACGGACAGCCAGAAACTGCGACGCCTGGAGGTGTGTTCATCGCTGATGGTCAGGAACAACAAAGAGCCATTCTTGGAGCGAATCATTACCTGCGACGAGAAATGGATCCTGTACAATAACCGGAAAAGAAGTGGACAATGGTTGAATGCTGGTGAAGCTCCAAGACATGCACCAAAACCGCCATTGCACCCAAAATAGGTCATGGTGACAGTATGGTGGTCTGCAAATCATACACTATTCTTTTTTGCAACCGGGACAATCAGTTACAGCAGAATCATATTGTCAGCAAATTGAAATCATGCATCAAAAATTGACCACCGAACAGCCAATATTGATAAACAGACAAGGACCGATTCTGCTGCACGACAATGCTCGACCCCATACGTCACGAACCACCGTGGGAAAATTAACAGAATTGGGCTATGAAATTTTGCAGCATCCACCATACTCACCTGACCTTTCACCAACGGATTATCATCTTTTCCGTCACTTGGAGCTGTTTCTCCGGAATAAAACATTCCGGGACTGAGAGGCTGTAATTGAAGCATTTGAGGAGTTTGTTAATTCAAAAAATGTAGAATTTTATAGAAATTGAATATTTTCCTTAGTATCCCGTTGGGAGAAGACAATTCAAGCTAATGGAGCATATTTTGATTAAATGAAATTTTATTTGTTAAAAATATAGCCTTTTAAATTTCATCTTCAAAATCGGACATTTCATGTGAAACAACCTAATAATTCCAGTGTTAAAGGAAAGTGTGAATTTTTCGTTCAAGAAAATCATTTGGATTGGAAGGGTATCATGCATTGACATCAAAGGCTCATTAATGTACTTGACAGCTTGCAAAGGCATGAGCTTAGCAACAGACTGCTAGTAAAAAATTATACTTTGGCATGTCACCATGGAGAAAGCAAACTTCCTGATACCCAAATCTCTACATGCAACTTGACAGGTTATAGATATCAGACCATCATTTTCAATTCTGCTTCATTTTAAATGATTCTGAGCTATGGATCTATGTTGAGTATTGAGTGAAGTTAACTGCCAATTTTCTGCATGTTTTTTTTATTGATAATGGACACAATTTTGTGAATAATAGAAAGTCCTGGTAACTGAGATAAATCTAGAAGAATAGCAGATTTGAAGGACATCAAGTTTATTTCATGAACAAGGAAGGCATTGCTGAAGATTTGAGAGGAAATGATGCTCACTTCCTTCTCTATGACTCATCTATAAAATCTAGAGAATTGTTTGTAAAGGTTGTCTGTATCACACAACCCCATTTTCATGTTGTTACTATGTAGTCAATATATGCTCAATAGGAATAGGTTGTCTTCAGATCATCGTATATGGGATGGGATTCCATGTGAAACTCTTAAATTTGTACTTTTTATGTCTCTCTCATGCACAAGCTCAATTTAGTCTTGGTTTGCCTCTAGGGAAGTATAGGAAGCACAGCAAGGATGTCGGATAGAATTTTTTGTGGAAGTGTTCCATGTTTGCATCAGTAACCAATATGCATGACTGATAATTCTTTGGAATTCAGAGAGCAATGGTACTGTTGGGAGTCCATGATGAAGTGGCTCTCTTATCAGTAGTTCACATATCAAAGACACATTCCATAAACAGTTTGGCAGAAGATCCCCACCTGGTAGATAATATGGAAAGGAGCTCTACAGATAGTTATGCACTAGCAGAAAGTGCCTTTTATTCCCATTCACCTGGCATTCATGAGGTGGGGTGTATGAAACCCCAGGCATCAATTTTATAGATTCTCAAGAGATGACTTGTGCTGGCACATTTTAAATTTTACGTAATAGCTCTACTCTAATTATAAGCAAATTGTAAAGAAGATCTTAAACTTTATGTTCAATTTTCAGCTCAATAAGCATGATAAGCACCAAGCCAAATTTTCAATGGATCAGAAGAAGGCTGGGGTTTGTCAGACCCCACCACATAAATGGTGTACCAAATTTCCACCTCACAAATAGAGGTGTACTGATTCAGGATTAGTTGATACTAATATCAATCCTGGTATCTTGGTATCAGCCGATACTGATACAGATAGCCCCCAGTGGCTGTAAGAAGTGAAACCACAATACAGGACCAGACCTTAGTAGGCCTTATGCTACCTTTGGCATAGAAGGGAAGAAATAAAAAATCCTTGGACACTAATGACCCAATGTTCAAAATTCCTGTTAGTTATTTAGTGCTGGAGACATTTGTATCAGCCAGTATTATAGCATCTTGAGTATAGGCCAAAATTTCCCCACCATTCACCAGGCCCACTGAGAATATGTCAGATGTAGGCACTATGAACAAAGAACAATCAGTGTGAAGAGGAATTACATATAATGCCCTTAAGGGATTAAGGAGTTGATGCAACAACTGGGATCGGTGCTCAAGGGGAGAGCTGGAGGAAGGATGGATGTGAGCACAAAGTGCGCCTGTGCAAACCAGTCAGCACAGGAAGGCAGGAGACAGGATGGAAGGGGGGAAAGTGAAGGAATGAATGCATATGTGAATGACTGGTCCATTCCATTTGTACAATACCCTTCTCAAATCTCTCGCATTTTGCTTTAACCATGCCCAAGCTCATTGTCTATTAATCGGAGATTAACAAGAACTATGATGGACTTGAGGAACTGTATTACAATTGAGTTTTTTCACAAGACGTTCCAAAAATGTACACACTGCTCATCAAGTACAGCATGTGGCAAGGGAGGATCAGATCAGCCATATAGGTATCAGCCAATACCAATCCTGACTGATCCACTTGGTATCAGTGCATCCTTACTCACAAATGCTAGGTTATTGCTGCTAGTATTCATTGTGACTGACTTTTGCAGCTTTGGCAGCAGCCAGCTAATCAGGGTAGTTCCTAAGTAAATATGGCAGAGAATCCTCTCAATCACACTGCAAATGTGTATTGTGCGAAAGGTCACACCCAGAGTATATTATTTCTTTTCTGCAAATTTTTGCATTAAGCAATCCTCAGTAAAATACCATAAAAAAGCTTCTCGTCATGTATAGATTCATCCTTTTACATGTTTATATTACTCCATTGCCTTTCATTTAAATGGCATGCCATAAGTCTGGTATGGTTTATATTGTGCAGGTGCAAGGAAAAACTAGCCTGGTTGTCTTGAAAGTAAGTCAGCAAATAAATGAGGACAGATTTAAGTTCTATGCAAAAGACACGCAAGTTTGTTTCTCCAAGTAAACAGAGAACTTGGAGAGTTTATGCTCCATGGCAATCTCTCATATGACTGCTACTAATTTCATGCATTTTTTGCAAATGTATCTGTATACTGTATTGTATTGCTTTTTTTTTAATGATCCCTTACCTATCTCTGTTTTCTTTGAGGAAATATTTGCATTTTTCTTCATTATTCGTTGGGAAATTCATTTTTAATAGTGTCATGGATTAAAATTCATACTGTAATGTCCATTGTGTAGGGAACTCTCAGGCAAGTTTGCTCGATTGGCTCACCTTGTGGATGACCATATGGATGAGATGAGAGAGGGGGCATCCCAGCAGGAGGCACAGATAAAGGATCTGGACAAAATCTTGGAATCCTCGCGTATCCATCGCAACAGTGCCAACTACTGGTTCAACCTTTTCAGCATCTTTGAGCGCAAATATCTACAAATTGATGAAAGCTGAATCGAAGCCTGTACAAGGCAGACTAGCCTAATGTAGACTTGGAACTTGTTCAGCTTGTCAGCAGAAGAAAGATGCAGTCCACTTTCAAGACTTTGGGTGATTTCTTAGATGTGATAGGAAGCAGTTTTTGATCCAGTTTTGCTTTTCTTTCTGTAATGATATCAATAGATGAAATATTCTTGCCATACTTAATTTTTTAAAAGGGATGAAATTTTTCTTGTCATGGAAGTAGAATTTCCTTTCATACCACCAAATTTAAATCCTTGAGCAGCTATATGCATGATAAATTGGAGCTGCAATCTCAGTTGTTCTGTGCATTTCCCCTTCATCCCCAATGAATTCTCAAGCTCTTAATCAGAGATCACCCATGGTAGCAATGCCTTAACATTTCATTACATTGATGAGATAACATGGATGGAATTGTACAATCGGCTTCTGTGGCACTTGTCGTTTTCCGACCTAGTCATTGTAGTGAATAAAAACTGTTATTTCATGCTTTATGATTTCATTTTGCTTATCGTCCCGATCATTTGCGAAATTCCCAGATGCCCTTGCTTTGCCCGCCTCAATTCTCATGATACCTCAAAAGCACTTGAATTTAAATGAATTAAGTGGTGATTTATGGTCTTTTCTTGAATCTTGATACAAATACTTGCTGCATTCTTGTCCTATGATTAACTTTAGGATTTTATTATCGGCACTGATTACTGATACTTTACTTAGCCACCCCTATGTTCAGTGCTCCAGTGACCGATCACCATCCCCATCATGCATCAGCGTATTGTCTAGGAGGAGTGAAATTAGTCGCTACTGCCCATCCTTACCCCATTTTCAAAATATCACAGAGGAGTTTTGATGGCATCCTTCAAGTCTGCCGGCCACTCAGCGCCAGAGTTTAACCCTTACCGTACGAATGTTAGATATATCTGACGCTACAATTAACCTCCATTGGACGAATGTTAGATGTATCTAACGCTATACACGGTTCGCATCAATGAGCTCTTCTGGTCCTTGAGTAGGCTTCTAATCCAAACAAATGATATTACTGTCAAACCCTTGGGGTTTAAAAGGGCGGAATTAATTTCCGGCCGTGAGGAGACCGAAGTATTTAAAAACTCCGTACGATAAAGGCTAACTGAACGCTATGGAAACTCGACTTAGAACCTCCTGAGAGAGAGGGAGGCGGAAGTGTGTTCCAGACTTCGCTACTGCAACCAAGTATTGGGCTAGAATCCCGATATTGGATCAGACTTCTACTCTGGTCGTGTATTTTTTCATCCGAATAATCTCATATTTTCCCCCCTCCCTCAATAGAAATTTCGCGAGTTAGTTCTCAAGAAAACTTGTAATAGGCCACCGAAACATTATTCTTAATTGTTGGAAACTGATGGAACGAAATCGTAATGTTTTTGAGTTGAATGGCGTATTTACACACAATTGGGAGCCAGGTAGAGAGGAGTCCCGCTTCTACCCGTCAGGTGAGTACTTGCGTTCTCGCTATCCAGCGGGCTTTAGGGAACGGAGGGCGTTGTAAACTGCACGATCCATCGTGCAGTTTCGAAAGGATGTAATTGCTCTTACATAAATGGCAATAAACGGCACCGCACAATAATTTACTCGCCCTCGACGTTTCGTGCGTCCACGTCCCTAGGATGGACCCCAGTGCTTAAGAAGGCCGTAGAATCCCAGGTTCTACCATGATAAAGGAGCTTTTGTTGAGGGTGATAGAGACGAACCAAAATTTGCAAGACGTGATCAGCTCAGGAGTTTCATACTGGATCGGTCGTCGCCCTGGATAATCGGGACCAATAATAAGTCATTGCGCTTCCGAGGTAACTATTGATAAGTTGGCTACCGGGGCCGGGTAATCCGATGTTATTGGGTACGTCGGACTCCCTCGCACGACATCCAGACCTATTTGTCGGTCTGCCACCCACCAAAGCGTATTTTCGGCACGATGCCCTTGGAGCGGACCAAGATCAGAACGAAATGGTAAACGTCTTAGGCCGCTGAAACCTCATTTAGGCTAGATAAAGGGACCTTTAAGCTAAAGAGCTCTTTTCCCCCTGAGGGAGTCGATGGATTCCTAAAGGAGGTTTTAGCAATCGGAATCGCAATTTTAGCAATCGGGCCTTTGTCAACGGACTTTGGATCTCGGGACTTGGAACGTGCCGACGCTCGGCTGTAAGGCGCTGGTATTCGTGGAAGAGGAGAGCACTCCCTTCACTATCAGCAGGAGCTCTTGTCCAATCTCAATGTTTAACTTCTTTTCAATAATTGCTACTAGTATTGCTTCGGCCAACAAATTCAGATTAAAATTTGAAAATCGATTGGAAACACGCTCGTGTATGCATAGTGAAATTTCACGGAAATAGCTCCAGTGTGAGCGGATGTTTTTAGGTTAAAATTCGTTTATATATTTTTTTGCCATACCCTGTATACCTCGCATAGAGCTCTGACGGTCGGACTGGTAATGCGTGTCAGCAGTCGCTGGTCTACACCAGCGACTGCTGACACGCATTACCAGTCCGACCGTCAGAGCTCTATGTGATATTTGAGTACCGACCACCGATTCTAGAGGATAGCAAACTCTGGATACAAGTGACCCTCAGAACGGGTCGGAAAATCGCAGGCGTTGCGAAACGAGTGGCAATTGGAAGTATTTTGATCTGGCCTTTCAGCTGCAGCGGTGAAAGTATGTGACGAAAAGCGAATCGGAGTGGCACTCGGTAAAATCAAGCGGATTCCCTGGTGGACACCAGAGGTATGGCTGACTGTTGTTTCCAGGAAGGCAGCCTATAGGACGTACTTTCCAATAGGTTGGACCCTTTAAGGGCGTGTCACCGAGAGGCGCGAAGAACTGCTGCTCGAACCGGGGCCGAAGCAATGCAGGAGTCAAGGAAGAAAGTCGGCGAAGAAATGGAACGCGACCGCTACACAGCTAACAAGGTGTTCGAAAGCTGCGGCAAGGCAGGTAGCATACTCTCCGGGTCGTGAAAGACCGAAACGGGAAGGTCTTGACTGCTGAAACAGAAATACTTGAAAGATGGAAGAAACACTCTGAGGAGCTCTTAACCCTTTGATGCCCACAGGAGCGTGCCCAGAGAATCCCAATGGGGGAGTTGGAGTATTAAAAATTGGTAATCCGTCCTGCATATGTGGCCAAAAAAAATTTTTTGAGAATCGAACCTGTAAAATGTATCCCAAGGGGAGGGATTAATAACCCCAAAACGCCCCCCTTGGGCATGCCACTGGATGCCCAAGCGGATCATGTGGCGCGCTTTAGCAATTGCGTCAAGTTTTTCATTTTTCTTTGTGTTTCCGAATTCGTTCGTATGATGGCAGTATTCATCAAGGCCACGAGGATTTAGTTTACGAGTGACTGTGTGACGCAATACTTGATTTTGTGGAAATGTGCAATTTTATTTCTGGAACCTAAAAATGGCTTGGGCACTAGTGTGTTAAACCTAAAGCGGGCTCAGATGTACACAACTTGGAGCCTGTCTGCGTGGAGAAAAGTCTCATCGTGGAGGAAATTCAACAAGCTACTCTGCTTTCGGATTGAATTCGTAACACCCCCCCCCCCCCTTCTCCCTCTTCCATAGGGGAGGGCTGAGACTACAACTTCTAGAGGATCCGCTTCGTAAGATGATGCGCGAAACCATCTACGTGGAAGATGTCAGCACCTGCAATCAATGGAAGCGCTCCTATGGGGGTACGAATTCAATCTGAGAACCGAACATGGCTAGCTTGAAGAACGGAAAGTCTCCTGGCGTTGACGAAATCTGGGAGAGACCTTGAAAACAATGGGCATCGATAAGTGCTCTTGGTTGCTTTGGGTATGTCAAACCGCATGGAATTGTGGATGGTACCAATGGATTGGCAGATGGGTTTGATGATTCCTCTTTTGAAAATTAGGACTCGCGGGAGTGTTCCAGTTACCGTAAAATCGCTCTACTAAAAATCTGATAGTCTATGTGAAGACGCTAGAAAAGAGAGGTCGTGCAATCGTTGGATTTGCCATCAGAGAGGAGCAGTGCAGATTACGCACGTGGCGCAGTACCAGCTCTACATTCCAACCCGATTCTCGAGAGACATTAGGAATATGCCAAACAGGTTTACGTGTGCTTTGTGGATCTCGAAAAGGTATACGACCGTGTACTTCGAAGGAAGCTGTGGGGAGTGCCGTAGGCGCATAGGGTCAATGGTCGGGCACTGCGGGCAATTCGATCCTTTTACAGTGATTGCAGGAGCTGCGTTCTAGTGAACGTGATTCCCCGCTACGCCCGTTGAACTCCATCAGGGTTGCGTTCTCTCTCCTTTCCTGTTGCTCGTTTAAGCCTAATTGAGTAGGCTCACTCTCGTGCCTTCCTTTGAAGAAACTTCCTATCGCCATTTGCTCCTATGATGCCCTGCATTCTTGGCAGTTTTAAATCGAGAAACTTCAGTTCGCATGTTAACCGTATTTCGCATTATTCCGTCCGGCATGAGGACTGAATAATGCGGCTTATCCTCAGCTTTTGCAAAGGACAATTTCTGCTTCGCGTTAGGATTTCGTGTTAATGCAACTACATTTCTAGTTTTTTTTTTATATTTAATTTAACTCTATTGTAATGAGTATTTTCAATAAAGTCTGCTCTCGCTTCTGGTTTCTGTTGCCGGTAAAAAAGAAAAAGAAAAGGTATTTGTGAGTAAATGATTTGATGTGAAATTACATTGAGGCAGGGATTAACGAGGGCTCGGGGGCTCGAGCTCCCCCAAAATTCCAGCTTCTTCACGTCGAATGCTCGCTGTTTTGGAAAACCCACTTTCCATCTATCAATAGCAGTGTGTGATATGGGAATGGAACATAATGGGACGTTATTCTTGGCAAAAAGAAAACGGCATCGCAGAATGGCAAAGGTATTTCACTCACCCCTCGATTTATGAAAATATATATTTAACTTGGAAGCATCGATCGACTAAAAGAGTCTATAAGGCACGTTTGCCTTGCACTACGAGATGCAATCACCACCTGTGCCAGGTTCTGTCAAATGACCTGATAGAGATGAATAGTTGAGCCGTGCGTGACAATTTATTCAGGAGCTGATGACGGAATCGATACGTAAGGCGCTTCAATCTCCATCCCACTCGAATGCGAGTGCGCGATGTCGTCTACGTCTTCTATGTCTTTGTCACCATTCCAGGGGGACAGGTTGTTTTTCGTGTGTTTTGGAGGCAAATATAAAGAGGAAAGCAGTTGTCATGGGTCATTTTCTCTCCCGATGTTATTGAAAAGCGTAGTATCGTATGCGGCAGGTTTGAACAAGTGGGAGTAAGCTAACTTCAGGCCTCTAGGCTCCTTTTTTTTTAAGGCGGAGGGGATGCTGGAAATCAGAAACGGTCCTAAAGACCTCCCCCCAAGTATCCCAAAACATCGCTACCCATGATTACTGTGATATTGT